GTCCATCCATCCATCTAACTGGCTATCTGTCTGCCTCACAATGTGAGAAAGATTTCTACCATAAATGACAATGTTATGTTAATGTAGAAGGATACTAAAGGAACTTTGGAGAATGTGAACTTCCAAGTTTGCATGAAAACACATTCCCTTTTAGGCATTGAAGTTAATGTAGATATCAGGAGTATAGAACAATAAATGTAGTGAAAAAATTCCAAGGAAAAACATTTTAATTGTAATAAAAAAACTCATCACAGGACTTTGGATGTACTTTGTGTCTAATGATTTTTATTAAATTTTGTATGATTGCACAACTTTGAAGAGACTATTTTGTGGTTAGGGTGAATCAATTTTTATTAAAATATTAAATTAAAAAAACAAGTAGATTTTAAATCCATCTTTTCAGCTTATTAATTAATTACTTTGAGTTTATAAGTTTCCTTGCAAGAGAAAACTCACAAACTATTGTTTACTTTAAAAGAATATTTATAAATTGCAAAATGACTTGCAGTGTAATAGACCTAGCTTCAAATTATATCAACAAGATTATTTCCCAGTCCTCTTTTTCAAGTCAACCTAAAACCGAGTTAAATAATATTTAAAAACATTTGCTATTGAGATTTTTTTCAATGCTTTTTAAAAGGAAAAAGTGAAGTGTTCTAAGTGACCATGATGTGTTTAAGTAAATATTTCCCCCAAAGGTTCAATGTATAATTTAGCTCGAGAAGATATGGGTAAACACAAAGGCCTGCTGCAATGTTTTAGTAAGTAACTTCCAGTTTCCTCTGATTTGAACTTAAAACATACAAGACTGCAATGATTTCTCCCATCATCACTTCATCTGAAGGCTTAACAGCTTGGGTAACAAATAGTACTGATCAATCAGTTAATCAATGGGCTAGGAAATCTTTGGGGAAAATGTTGTAGCAGTTTCTTTCTCCTTCTATCCTGTGCTTCATTGTCCCTGAATGACTTCACAACTGAGTTTACAGATCAAAGGAGTGCTATGATGACTCACAAACTTCTGTTGGAATATGGAGAGAGTTCCAGAAAAGTCAACATTTACTTCATGCAGTGGGATTTTAGTTTGAATGTGTAGAGTGATTAGTACATTTATCTATCCCTGAAAAACAGCTCAACTAGCTGATCTGTGCAGGTATTCATTTTTCTTATCCAAAGAACTCTGCTAGCAGCAGTGAAAACCCAAGTGGGAACTTAATAAAAATAAAAATTGTGGCAGCAAAATACATTTACAAGGTTAATGTGACATATTGCAAAATTTTGGGAGGTTATAGTGGTTTCTATATAACCACAGTACTGATTTAGAAAAACCCCAGAGAAACAGCTGCATTTTGAAATATAAGCTGCCTTGCCAGCATGGGAAAGCTTAGATTTCAGGGTGCATACGTTTTGAGATGCAAGGGCTTGAATATGACTCTGGGAAAACCTTTCTTAGTAGGAATAACCGGATAATACAAAACCTGCAGAAGTTTACACTTAAAGATAACTGAAAACATATCTGCTCTACAGATCACATTGCTAATTTCTTTACTATAGTGGTGAGCAATGAGAAAACAATTGATAAAAATCAGTGCTGAAGAAATATTATGGAAATTGTGCTCTTATCATGGATTTTCTGATTACCTGTGAATATCTCCATTTCTGGCATTTGGTAGCAACGGGTTGAGGCAAACCTGGCAAAATCGCTTCCAGCTGCTGGAATATTAATTCTTGCACATCCTCAATGCTGTGTTCTAAGTGTGCAACTCCAAATGGGACAGAGGTGTGAATGGCAAGGGAAGGGCCGATTTCTGACGACTCTGGTGTGGGAGGAACAAAAGGATACATCTTACAGTGGGAAACATGGTGGTGTGTCTGCATTTCAATGCAGATTTGAGACTTGATCACAATAAACAGGTAATAAATGGAAGGAAAGGACATTCTAATACCTAGGCATATAATTAGGTTATTTCTGGATTTCAGACTTAAGCTTCTCTGAAGAGGAGAAGAGAGTCACTCTTGGAAACTAAATTTCAGGTCTTGCTATAGAACTTGAAGGAAGGCTATAAAAACCCCTAACATGTACTGGTATAGTTAAATTTATTGATATGTTCATCTTCCCTCGTTAATTATACACAAACCTATATTCTCTTTAAATTATGAGTACAAAGTAGATGTTCAATAAATGCATATCTTACTCATATTAATTAATGGATAGCTAGTTACTCATTATACCATAAATGTGGCAAAATATTGTGTTAAAATTATATAATTGCCAGAATAAAGTAGCTTTCCTGCTTAAAAAAAAAAGTCAGTCTTCTTTCTATAAACAAGCATGACATTATACTATTTTTCATATTTTAAGCAGTATTAAAAATAAAAATCTGCCTCATTCATAATATAGTTATATTTTTTTTGGTGCTCACAACTTTTGAAAGAAGAGAATATTCAGATATGTAAGGCACTGACAGGTGCTGGAAAGTCTTGTTCTGAAAACTCCTTAATTTAAGATTGTAAAGGATAAGAGGACAATTTCTTAGATACAGGTTTGTACAATTCTACTCCAAGAAAAGAAAGGATTGAACCAAATAAACTGTTTACTTGCTAGATGGCCACTTAACCTCTTTACATTTTAGGTTTCTAATTCTGGTAAAGTGAACATGTTGATACCTATCACATAGGTTTGTGGTGTAGATAAAATAACCAGTGCACACACAGGAAGTGTTCAGCACAGTTTCTGGCACATCAAGATAAACCATGGAATAGAGGCGATAAACCTGATACATACAAGAAAAGTCACCCAAGATAATAAAATTGAGTTATTTATTTTCCCATGTGCACTACTTGGAGAATCTTGGATGGTCAAATTTTCAGCAAAACTCCAGGGAGAGAGTTGCATGATGTGACAAACATTTTAAAGTGGATTGCTTCTGAACATTCTCATATGTGTGTGGTGGGAGACTGGACTTCAGTATCTGTGCAGTAAATGCAATGGTAACAGGTTGCCCACTGTTTTCATCTTAAAATAGCTGGAGCAAAGGGAAAAAGAAAAGAGAGAGTTCATCTCTTCGAATGTTCAATGTTTAATCTGTCAGTAGAGACTTTCCGGCTACCACACAGAGGGAAAGACCAAGGAGAGCAAAATATCAAGTTGCTTCACAAAATCCACCATGCTGAGAAATCCACCATGCATGGCCTCATGTAGAGCTATATACGTTACCAGTGAATACATTTGGGGGGGCTTGTCACAGTAAGAGGGTGCTGATACCACAAGTCTTTCCATGAGGTATCAAATTGCCCAGAGAAGGACAGCTACTGGATTGACAATCTAAAGGAGGGTAGAGTTTCTAAGTTGGCTTATCTATGGCAGGCTTCAATGGAAAATGAATATTAGGTGCACGCTGACAATTGAGAGGTTGCCCTGACCCAGCCATTTGTTCTAGAGACAACTCATAAAATTGCGAAGGTCGGTGATGGTGCATTGCCAGGTCTCTCCCATCTACATTAGCCATCCACTCCAAGGAGAGTAATAAAAAGGAAATTTAAGATCCAAAGTGAAACAGTTCTTGCATAACAATGGGAGAACAATCTGGCTACTTTTTAACTGAAATTAGACAAAAATTTTTGTGCATTTAGATTAAAAGTTGAATAGATGCAACTTAAAACCATGAATTTTAAGGAAAGCTTACTTAGCCCCCCAAATGAAAGTCCAAAAATAAAAATAGCTTGGCAGAGTTTAAATGTGACCAATTTTTAAAAATAGTTTTATAAAATGTCACAAATAAGTTAATAGGATTAGAGAATAAATTCAATATCATCATTATTCTTTGCTGAAAAGGTAATGATGTTATCTTCCCCCCTTTTCTTTAGAAGCACTTTACTTCTGGCATCTTAAATGTAAAGTTCATACTAAGTTGACAACTATCTCTGTTCACTGGAAATCAATGACTTTAGTTGGAAGATAAATATTTCAACCCTCACATCCTTGGGTTAGTTAATCTCTCAGACTGCACTTCATTCCATTGGCTAAAAGGCAGTAAGAGTACTTACCTCATATGGGCATCACAAGGAGTAAATGGTTTAAGACACATAAAAGTTTTTCTTCAATTATAAAATGTTATACAAACATATGGTATGCTTAGAAAACTCTTTTGCTTTACCTCTGGGCTATGTTAAGAGCAACTTTAGAAAAGGATAATGGTTGATATCTCAAAGTATTAAAATTGATTATTATATCAACTCTGCAGGGGTAGCAGCAAAGCATTCCAGGGCGTAAGCATTCCTGTGCATAAACAAGATTTAGTTTTTGTTTGTGGCAAAATATACATAATGTAAAAGTTAACACTTAACCTATTTTATGTATATAGTTATCTGGCATTAAGTATCTTTACATTATTCTGTAACCAACACTACTATTCATCTCCAGAACCAGAACTTTATAATCTTCCCAAACTGAAACCTAATCATAATTGAATAAGACTACCTCATATAAGTGGAATCATACAGTATTTGTCCTTTCTGACTGGCTTATCTCACAAAGCATGATGGCGTCAAGGTTCATCCATGTAGTAGTCTGTCAGAATTTCCTGCTCTTTAAGACTGTATAATATTCCATTGTGTATACAATCATGTGTCACTTTTAATAAAAGTGAAGAATTCTCAGAAATGCATCACTAAGTGATTTTCTAGTTGGGTGAATATCATAGAGTACAAACTTAGACATGTTATAGCCCACTCACATATCTAGGCTACATGGAATCACTTACTTGGACCACACTGTTGTTTATGTCATTCAATCCCTCTTTGACTGAGATGTGGCAAAGTGACACAAGACTATATATACCACATTTTGTTTCTGTATTCATCTGTTGATGGAAGCAACTTAAGTTGCTTCTATCTATTGGCTATGGTGATAATGTCACTATGAACATGGGTGTAAAAATTCCTATTCATTTCTTGTGGGTATATGTGTGATGTGAAATTGCTGGATCATACAGTAATTCCATGTTTAAATTTTGGAGGAAGTACCACATTATTTGTCACAGTGATGACATCATTTTTATTCCAGTAGTGCACAAAGGTTTCCATTTCATCATATCCTCACACTCCTTATTTTTTATAATAACCTAGTGGGTGTGAATTGGGCATGGCAGATTTTAGTCTACAATTTCTCCTTTTAGTCCTCACACTTTTTACTTTATATTGAAGCTATTTTTTACTGTTCTCTTTTTCACAACAGTATGTTGTGAACCGCTTTATATCGAGACAGGTCTTTTGTAGAAAAATTTACTTTCTACTTATTTGTCTCCTTTACAACATTTCTTTCTTTTTTAAAGCTTTTGTTTTCTTTTTAATAGAATTGTTTTTACCTCATTGCATTCTTCCCCTTTCCTAGTTTATTTTAATTAAACATATAATTATAATAATACAACAAAGATACAGATTATTTCTATCTGTAGGGATGACCCTTTGATTTAAGCATCTATATTACAGTCAAAAGTTAGTATCTACGTCCTTCTTCTGAATAATATAAAACTTCAGAATATTTTAACTTTGGTTTTTATGTTTTTGTTATCCAGGATTTTCTTCTCCAGCTTTGTTTAAAATAGCCAGTGCTTACTTATATTTATTTACAGTTTCCTTCTTGAATCTCATATTTTTCTTGAGTCATTTCCATTTCCTAAAGTAACTTCTTTCGAAGTTCCTGAGTGAAGTAAATAACTCTTCAGTTTTAATTTTTCTAAAAATGTCTTTATTTCACCCTCCTTTGTGAAAGATAGTTTTCTTTGGTATATAAAAAATGTACTAAAAATACTTTTCTTAGCACTTGAAGGATATTATTTCCAAGCCTTTAGTGATGCTGTTAAGAAATCAACTGTTAGTTTGGTTGTAGGTACTTCCAGTAACTTCTACGTTTGTGTGCTCTTGTAGTTTTCTCTTTGCCTTTGGTTTTTACTTGGATATCTTGAAGTTTGCAATTCTTTGTGTTTACCTTTTTTGACTTTGTTAGGGTTTGAATTTGAAGACTCATTTTTGTCATTCATTTTGGGAATTTCTCAGCCATTACTTCTTCCCAATTTCTACTTTGTATTCATGGATCTCTAGTTAGAGATATATAGATCTATAATCTCACTCTATCTTCCACAAGGTGTGTGAAGATTTTTAATACTGTAATATTAAATATTAATATTCAATTTTTAATATTTCCATCTCTGGCTTTCTTTGCTAGATTCAATACAATTTTTTCTTATTTATCTTTTAGTTCAGTTCTATTTTTCAAATCTTCAAGATCAATTTTGATAGTTTCTTTTCCCTAGTCATACTACCACTATTCTATTTCTGTAAGCATATTTAATATATTATACTGTGGTTTTGGCTATTTCAAAATCAACACTATGAATTTTTTCTTTTCCTACTGTGAGTCCATGTTTCCTAGAAACTTTATCTAAGAAATTCTTTTAGGCCTGAGTTTAGAGTGTTCCTTTGGAGATTTGCTTTTGTTCTTGCCAGATGCCTTAGGGCAATTCTGCCCATGACTACTTTAACTAGATTTTTAGAATATACCTGGGGAATGATTTCTGGCACCAAATCTGACTGAGGGCGGTTACATGGTTTGGCATCCCAGGAGAGGTATTTTATTTCTTTTTTGTTTTTTTCCACTCCACTTAAAGACAGGCCAGCATCTCCATTGTCTTCTTCTGCCAAATAGGCTATTTGAGATACAGAAAGTTCCTTAAAACCAATAATGTGTACACACATCCATTCTCATAAATTTTTATAACAAACAGAGGATATTTTCTTTTAAAATAACTTGTCAAAA